CATAGCCCAAGTCAGAAATCTGAATCACAAACCACAGGTCACCCTTGAAATGGTTCCATGTCATAGTGCTCGGAACAGGGGGTTATGCACCAGAGCCAGGGCTCTGCCCTCAAAGCTGGGCTGTAATAAGACATGTCCATGGGGGGGGAGGGGGGGTTCAAGCTGCACAATCCCCCAACTCCTGATTTTGTGGAACATTGAATGTGTCAAATGAAGAAGCAAGGAGACCCTGGCCCTAATCCTGACACAGTCAACCTGTGGAACTCCTTGCTGGAGGATGTGGTGAAAGCTAGGACTTTAACAGGGTTCCAAAAAGAGCTAGATATAATCATGGAGGTTAGGTCCACCAATGGCTATTAGCCAGGATAGGTAGGAATGGTGTCCCTAGCCTCTGTTTTGCTGGAGGTGGGTGACAGGGGAGGGATCACGTGAGGATTACCTATTGTGATTCCTCATTCTGGGGCATCTGGTATTGGCCAGTGGTGGCAGACAGGACACTGGGCTAGATGGACCGTTGGTCTGACCCAGTCTGGCCATTCTTATGTTTTTAAATGCTCCCTACCTACAATGCCAACTGATTTCTTGTTCAAGCCTGTAGAGGCCCAACTTAAATGTATGCCCCAAATTAAAAAACACAGTAAGAGGACCCAACAAGTGCCACCGTGGCTTAACAATCAAGTAGAAGATGCAGTGAGCGCTAAAAAGGTTTCTTTTAAAAAGTGGAAGTCAAATCCTAGTGAGGAAAATAGAAAGGAGCATAAACTCTGCCAAATTAAGTGTAAAATATAAGAAAAGCCAAAAAAAAGGAGTCTGAAGAACAGCTAGCCAGAAACTCAAAAGAATTAGCAACACGTTTTTAAGCACTTCAGAAGCAGGAAGCCGGCTAAACAACCAGAGGGGCCTTTGGACGAGCGAGACGCTAAAGGAGCACTCAAAGATTATAAAGTCATAGCAGAGAAGCTAAATGAATTCTTTGCTTCAGTCTTCATGGCTGAGGATATTGGGGAGATTCCCAAACCTGAGCCATTCTTTTTAGGTGAAAAATCTGAGGAATTGCCCCAGATTGAGGTGTCATTAGAGGAGGTTTTGGAACAAATGGATAAACTTAACAGTAACAAGTCACCGGGACCAGATGGCATTCACCCAAGAGTTGTGAAAGAACTCAAATGGGAAATGGCAGAACTATTAACTGTGGCTTGTAACCTAGCCTTTAAATCAACTTCTGTACATAGACTCAGACTTTAAGGTCATAAGGGACCATTATTATCATCTAGTCTGACCCCCTGCACAGTGCAGGCCACAGAATCTCACCCATCCCCTCCTAGAATAATCCTCTCACCTATATCTCAGATATTGAAGCCTTCAAATAGTTTAAAGACCCCAAGATGCAGAGAATCCTCCAGCTGTGATCTGTACCCTACGCTACAGAGGAAGGTGAAAAACCTCCAGGGCCTCTACCAATCTACCCTGGAGGAAAATTCCTTCCTGACCCCAAATATGGCGATCAGCTAAACCCTGAGCATGTGGGCAAGACTCACCAGCCAGACACCCAGAAAGTTCCCTATAGCAACTCCTATCATCCCTCCATTGACCTATTTCCAACTGATAATGAATGGTCAATTAGTTACCAAGATCATGTTATTTCATCCAACCATCCCCTTATCATAGAATCAGAACTGGAAGAGACCTCAGAAGGTCGTCAAGTCCAGCCCTCCGCTCTAGGCAGGACCAATCCCATCTAAATCAACCCGGCCAGGGCTTTGTCAAGCCGAGACTTAAACACCTCTAGGGATGGAGACTCCACTACTTCCCTAGGTAACCCATTCCAATGCTTCACTACCCTCCTAGTAAAATAGTTTTTCCTAATATCCAATCTGGCCCTCTCCCACCACAACTTGAGACCATTGCTCCTTGTTCTGCCATCTGTCACTACTGAGAACAGCCTCTCTCCATCCTCTTTGGAACCTCCCTTCAGGAAGTTGAAGGCTGCTATCAAATCCCCCCTCACTCTTCGCTTCTGCAGACTAAACAGACCCAAGTCCCTCAGCCTCTCCTCGTAGGTCATATGCTCCAGACCCCTAATCATTTTGGTTGCCCTCCGCTGGACCCTCTCCAATGCGTCCGCATCCTTTTTGTAGTGGGGGGCCCAGAACTGGACACAGTACTCCAGATGTGGCCTCACCAAAGCCGAATAAAGGGGAATAATGACATCTCTGGATCTGCTGGCAATGCTCCTCTTAATGCATCCTAATATGCCATTAGCCTTCTTGGCTACAAGGGCACACTGTTGACTCATATCTAGCTTCTCATCCACTGTAACCCCCAGGTCCTTTTCTGCAGAACTACTACTTAACTGGTTGGTCCCCAGCCTGTAACTATGCTTGGGATTCTTCCGTCCCAAGTGCAGGACTCTACACTTGTCTTTGTTGAATCTCATGAGATTTCTAGTGGCCCAATCCTCCAATTTGTCTAAGTCACTCTGGACCCTATCTCTGCCCTTAAGCGTATCTACGAAATTTTATCATAATGACTGGAAGATAGCTAATGTGACACCAATATTTAGAAAGGGCTTTAGAGGTGAGCCTAGCAGTTATAGACCAGTAAGTCTAACATCAGTACTATGCAAATTAATTGAAACTAGAGTAAAGAATAAAACTGTCAGTCACGTAAATGAATATAATTTGTTGGGGGAAGTCAATATGGTTTCTGTAAAGGGAAATCCTGCCTTACTAATCTACTGGAGTTCTTTGAGGGGGGTCAACAAACATGTGGACAAGGGGGAGGCAGAGGACAAGCCTGGCCAAAGAGTTTGCGGGGCCCAAGGTGGCATGTTGTGGTTGGATGCACCACTTGGCCGGGCGGCTCCCAGCCAGGGCAGCGAGCGAGTAGGCACTGGGCAATGTAGGGCCCTGAAGTCCAGAGCCCAAGGCAACCACCTTGCTTGCCCTGCCCTAAGGCTGGGCCTGCCAGTGGATATAGTATACATCCACCTCCAGAAAGCCTTTGAAAAGGTCCCTCACCAAAGGCTCCAAGTAAGCTATCGCACGATAAGAGGGAAGGCCCTTCATGGACTGAGAACTGGTTAAGAGACAGGAAACAAAGGGTAGGAATAAATGGTCAGTTTTCAGAGTGGAGAGGAGTAACTAGTGGGCTCCCCCAAGGGTCTGTCCTAGGACCAATCCTCTTCAACTTATTTATAAATGATCTAGAGCAGAGCTACTCAACATGCGGGCCGGTCCATCTGTTTGCAGCCCACGGCACCATTGGGGATTATGTGGGGCTCAACATGCAGCCTGCAGGTAGGAGCCAAAGAGTGGTCTTCTGTGGATGCACATTTTAGTAGTTAAATTCCTGGACATCACTGCTCATTAAAAGTGCTGTCATATGGGTGGAAAGCAGGTAAGTATTGCATTTTATTAATATTAGCAGAACTGACTTAATGGGGCCTGCATGTTGTGTAGTCTTGCCTTAATCTTTGTATTCATGCCCATCAGTGTGAAAGAAGCTATTTGCACACATTGTGTGTGTGTGTGTGTGTGTGTGTGTGTGTGTGTGTGTGTGTGTGTGTAAAACCACACTTAAGTTGTGGCCCTCGGCATGTACTGGGAGTATCATTGTGGCCCTCAGGGCTTCCAAAGTTGAGTAGCCCTGATCTAGAGAAAGGGGTAAACAGTGAGGTGGCAACATTTGCAGATGATACCAAACTGCTCAAGATAGTTAAGACTAAAGCATGCTGAAGCGCTCCAAAGAGATCTCACAAAACTTTTGTGACTGGGCAACAAAATGGCAAATTACGTTTATCAGCATTAAATTTCAAGTAATGCACATCAGAAAAAAATAAATATATACATACAATATGACAGGGACTAATTTAGCTACAACTACTTAGAGAGATCTTGGGATAGTTCATTGTGGATAGTTCTCTGAAAACATCCACTCAGTGTGCAGCGACAGTCAAAAAAGCAAACAATGTTAGATGCCATTAAAAAAGGGATAGAGAATAAAACAGAGAATATCTTATTGCTTCTATATAAAACCATGGTATGCCCACATCTTGAATACTGCGTACAGCTGTGGTTGCCTCATCTCAAAAAAAGATAGATTGGTATTGGAAAAGGTTCAGAAAAGGGCAACACAAATAATCAGGGGTTTGGATCGGGTCCCATATGAAGAGAGATTAAAAAGACTTGGAGGGATATGATAGGTCTATAAAATCATGACTGGTGTGGAAAAAGTGAATACGGAAAAGTTATTCCCGCAATATAAGAACTCGGGGGGGTCACTAAATGAAATTAATAGGCAGCAGATTTAAAACAAATAAAAGGAAGTTTCTTTACTCAGTGCACAGTCAACCTGTGGAACTCCTTGCCAGAGGATGTGAAGACTCAGACTTTAACAGGGTTTAAAAGAGCTAGATACATTCACGGAGGTTAGGTCCATCAGTGGCTATTAGCCTGGATGGGTTGGAATGGTGTCCCTAGCCTCTGTTAGTCTGTAAATGGGTGACAGGAGGGGGCTCACATGAGGATTACCTGTTGTGTTCCCTCCCTCTAGGGGTATCTGGTATTGGCCACTGTTGGCAGACAGGATACTGGGCTACATGGACCTTTAATCTGACCCAGTCTGGCCGTCCTTCTGTTCTTAACTGTCCACTGAAAGTAACTCCTTTACATCCACTGGAGAGGCCATTGGCAAGGGCCAGGTATCTCCCCAAGCCACATGTGCCTTATGAACATGGCGCTTTCTGGAGTGGCGGTGCCGGGGGTCAAAACAGACCCATCTCCTGCTGTTCTTTGGTCTCCAGTGTATTCAGCCCCCTTCCCCTCTACCTCTCACCCTTTATGGCAAGATCTCAAAAATTACACTGTGCATGAAACCAAATACCTCACTTGAATGCAGCCCAGAAAACACTGCTCACAGTCACAGGGGGATATAAACAGCCCGGCCTTATACAGACACACGATTCACTGAGTAGCCAAGCACTGGACACAAAACTATGGTTTTTAAAGAAAAAATAATATTTATTTGCAATATAAACAAAAGTCCCAATATTGGTTCAGTATATATAGGGTCATTAATTTACCTTCATAGCTCAGAAAGCAAAAGAACCATCCCTCACTAACAAGCTCTCGTTTCTATTAATCAGAGGATGTCTTTTTTTTTTCCTTTAAAGAAGACAGACCACTTACAGAACAGGAAGCCTTTATAAGCCAGCTTAGCTGTAATGCAATGCAGATGCACTGTCTAAGATCCCTGAAAAGAAAAAAAAAAAAAAAAAAAGTTCCTCCATGAGGTAAAACGCAATTAGGATATTCTCAGTTTGCTCGCTCACTCATAGCCACACTTACATCCATTCTCCCTTCCCTGATGACCCACGATCCCAAAATGGTTACAAAAAACAAACAAAAAACAACCAACCCAAAAAAAAATCATTCCAACATTCTGGTAAGATCTTTAACAAAAAAAAAAAGAAATCATGATGTGACAGCATTGAACATTCCTCCACATGGAGGATTTTTTTTTTTTTTTTTTTTGAAAAAAGTACAAAAACCTGGATATTTAGAAAAAATTCCGTGGCTTTCTCTTTCTTTTTTTTAAAGTTACTTGAGCATTCTAGTGGAGGAGGAGGTGGTGAGGAGGAGGGAAAGACTACATTGCAGCCAATATAAAAGAAACCTCCACATCCGTTCTGCCTGCCTCCCAGACGTTAGTACCACTTCTTCAGCGTGCGAGGCCTTCGCCAAACATCAGCCAGAAACACCAACAAGTCTTCTCCCTCTAGAAGGCACGGCAAAAAGTTATTGGGAAAAAAAGGAAACCCATCAGAACCTTTGTCCAGCGCTCCGAAAGTCTCATCATTCGCCAGTTTTTTTCAACGCTCCCATCCTTATTTCACACATTTCCACGGTTTGCGCATGCCCCCGCCGTAGCGTCATGCCGGAAAAGCTCTGTTCTGCTCCAGGCCTTTGGCGTACCAGTAGCACTCCATCCCCACCCCACCCCACCCACACACACAAAAAATTAAGTGTGTGAGGTAAGTGCCAACATCACAAGGACTTGCCTTCCTTCGGAAGCTGGGATGACTTTAAGCCAGCTGGCTGACATGAATCATTGCTCAACCTACGGCAGAGAACAAGAGCTAGCCTTGAACATGCTTCTACCAACACTGGAGATGACACCAGGTTTACCTCTGGCAACAGACAGTGTTTTTTTGGTGGTGGTGGGGGAGGATTTAAAAAAAAAAAAAAAAAAAAATGTAGTCACCTTGGCTGATTCAGTGCAGTTTGTGATTGTGAGTGTGGAAGTGGCAGAGAGGTTCAGACCAACCGGCCTTTACAGACAACAGAGCTTCCTACCAGATGCTAGCAAGTGCAGCAGCAGGTGCCTCTCTCCGGTGTACCCAGTCACGTGCCAGGATGTCTCAAGGCTTCACAAAGTGTGCAAAATGCATTTGGTCAATATAAACATTTGATTTTTTTTTTTTTAAAAAAAGATCAAACAAGGACAGAATAAAATACTGGTTTTGCAACCTTGTCTGTACAGACAGTCAGGAACGTACATATTTAAAACCAGTGGCAGCCCAAGACTCGGAGTAAGGTTACCTTAAAAAAGAAGTACATGTGGATTTTAAAACAGTCTTGGGCCAACACCTTTCGTTGAAGGTTGCCAAGTGCGTAAGTCTTCTCTACTTTCCAGAGCACACTACCACGACGGTAGCTTTGCGCGTGTTTACGTGAGCGTGCCAGTCTCAACGCACCCAGGAAAGCAGTTATTGCCGATCACAGCTGCGCTCTGAACACCACGAGATCCCCCCTGTTAAATAACCCCTGTAAAGAGACTACTCTTTGATCCACTTTGATTAGCATCAGGATACTAATAAACGGCCTTCGCCTTTTTAAAGCAGCAATCAGGCACCTCTTCCTTGGAGAAACTAGTTCTTTCAAGGCTGCCTGGCAAGATACATATTTTTAAGATTTGAAATGCTCAAGAGAAGCTATTCAAGGCTCGCGTTCCCCACCGAACAAAACCCCCTTCATGTGGACTCCAAGGTGTTCAGCTGGAACAGGTTGTGATTGGTGGGGGTGGTGAAGTACAGCTGCTCGCTGGGGGAGCGGTTGTCACATGGGCTGTTCAGCCCCAGAGTCCTCTCAAAGTCCAGGAGCTGGCCCATGAAGTTAAAGTTTGGGGAAATATTTGACTTTTTCCTCTTCACAAAGTCATAGGCGTCATTCAGGGACAAGTTCATTTTTTGCATCAGGTAGGCAACCGTGACGGTGACAGACCTGCTGATGCCAGCGAGGCAGTGAACCAGGATACCACATTTCTTGGTACGGGCCTCATCTGAAACGAGGGGAGAAAAGGATACAGTTAGACCTCTGTAGCACAAATGCACTTCAACAGTTGAGAGATACTATGGAACTCAACAGCACTAATTTTCCTCCTCAAAAAACAGGCACCCAGCTATACTGTCCGTCCTATTTAGCACTTCAGCTTCCCCATGCTTAATGACGATTCATTAATTAAAGCTTACACCACCTCTGAGAGATTAATTTTAGGACTTTCTATTTAATAAAGGGAGAAACTCGAGTGGTTAAGTGACTTGTCCAAGGCCAGAGAGAGGCAGTATCAGGGCTGGAATTACAACTCCAGAATTCCTGGCACCCTGACCTGTTCCACATCCCTCACAGTTCAAATTAGTCAGCCAGGGCTAAGATGGGGTTGTGAAAGCTAACCAGTTGTGTGATCCGACACCACTGCAACACACAATGAAACTGAGAGGGTTGGGTTGGCTTGAGTTTTTTTAAATGTGCATTTTTTGCATTCAAGTGAACTCTGAAATAGAGGAACTTTACTTATGGTGACATTCTTTAGGGGCGGGGTGCAGGGAACAGACTTCCCTGTAGCATGGTTTCTGTGCTAGAGAATCTATCAAGAACCAAAAGATGTCAAAAGATATGGCAATGTGTACTTCTGGGCAGAACAGGGTTTCAAACCCGTCATTTCCACAGAGCTTGGCAGTGAACGATAAGACAATTGGGTGAAAGGAAGCCTCCAGCCCGACTCTATTCAAAGCCAAAAAAAAAAAAAAAAAAAATCAGGGACGGGCAGAGAGGAGGATACAACAGGGGGAATTAAAACCCAGCTCCAGACGTGACATCCTAGCCCCATCCCTGCGTGAGGAACTCCCAGAGAAAGGCCACTAACTCGTCCGATTGCACTGCTGCTCCAGAGGAGTGTCTGAAAATGCAGAAGTATCTGCGGCCCCATTTCTATCGCTCTGGTTTTATAGAAAGCGAGTGAGGTAATCCTCCACTTCCTGTCATTAAAGGCAACGCACACGTGTGGCGCTCGCTGAAACATGGGCTGCCTGGAGCAAACAGACCCCAAATGCCACAGCTCGATGCAGGAGCCCGATGCATCCTCCAGGAAGGTGAAACAGCATCCACACACCCTGCTGACCCAGGGGGCTTTCCACCATCAGCGACTGGGAGAAAAATATACCAGCTGGCAACTAGTTCCTTGCAGCCACGGACCTAACATTACATCGTTCCAGTGAAGGCCTCACAGTCAACTCCCCCTCAAAAAGGCGAGGGAATCAATTCCCTTCCCACAGATACCAGCGTGATTTCACACCGATCAAACACGCTCGTCTTTTTCATGGTTCGCATGACAACTACTTGCTGGCAAACGTCAGGCCAGCAACTATGGCCACGGAAGGGCTGACAGCCTCACTGGGAGGCATGCTTTTTATTCAGCCCAACCAATACTGACCACAAGGACAAAAAGCTGCTCTGGAAGTTAAAAGCGATCCCGGGAAAAGCTCTGTCCTGCAAGGCCCTGTTAAAAGTGTCTTAGGGCTTGTCTGCCCAGGGACATTTACCAGCATGACTTGATCAGTAGGGTTGAACAGCTGGTAGCAGGAGAATTTCCTGTGTTATACTGGACAGGAGACTCTACATGGACAGTTACCCCAGTATAATTACACCCATAAGTTTCCCCAAGTAGAGAAGTCCTTGGATTTTCACCTCTATAAGAATCTCCCTACAGGTACAAAGAACACACACAAGCAAACATCAGTCACACCAGAGCCTCTTAGTAGTCTCCATTTCCAAAACTCAGACAGTACCACACGCCTGATTCTCCACAGCATCGTATTACAGATTTAAATCCCTCTGTACGGTGGGAAGCGGTGGAGAAGCAGGCCCCATAGCGGAGCTTGTTTAAAGAAATCTAGTGTGGGAAACCCAATTTAAGATGCCCTAAAAGGGACCGATTTGCTCAGCTGCTATCCCAGTAGAACACAGCGAGTTACACTGGTACAATAACCCCAGCACTGCAGAGAGGACCTCAGCTTGGACACTGGAAAACAATTGATTTTGGGTGCCTTAGCACATGTTTAATATCTGATCTGAGCTGCGTACAATTTTTAGGTCCACGTTCAGACCAGCAGCAGCCCCTACAGAACACAGCTCCCTGCAGTCTCAAGCTGCGATGGCTAACGGCAGCAATCCAACACCTACCGATGAAAGCAATGGCCTCAGGAAAGAACTGCGAGAGATTCTGACTCCAGTGATCAGAGATGGGAATCTGCTTGTATTTAAACTCTCCATTGTGCTCGAACATGTTTGGCAGGTTGGGAGTCACATTCAGGATGTACTTGATGCCGTATTTGCCCAAGACATCTAAGTTGGTAGAATCTTTGGCACAACCCAGATACAAGTAGGGTAGGATCTGGACAGGGAAGGCAGGCTGGTTGTTAGGGATTGGGCTCCCGTCAGACTCCGTGGCGCTGCTTGGCTCCCTGTCAGACTCGCCATCGGAGCAATCGGAGCTGATCCTTAGTCCTCCAAGGCCGAGGACAGATGCAGGCGGAGAGTTGCTGGGTGAGGAGCTGTCAAGGTTGGTCTCACAATGCTCAGAATATTCAGTCTGAAATTTGTTGAAGCCGCCTGGGGGGGAAAAATGCATTTTACTAATTAAAAGGAGAGATTTGTGCATAAGTTAGTGGGTTACTCTACGAAACACCATTTACTTTGCTTGTTTCTCCCTAGCAAAAAGGCAGCATCAATTCAGATGCCGAGATGAAGATTATCAAAGGGCTGATTGTGCTACACTCCCAAAGCGTCACCCTTCACTCTGCAACCAGTTCCACTGAAGTACTGGTGTAGCACAGCCCTGCTTAGCATGAGAGCACAGAACAGAATTACCAAGGAAGGAGCCAATCTGCTTCCCACTTAATCAACAACAAGACATTAGTCCTGTGGCACCTTAGAGAAGCACAAAAATACGTAGATCGTATGAGCTTTCATGGGCAAAACCCACTCCCCAGCTCATCTGAGAAAGTGGGTTTTGCCCACAAAAGCTCATACAATCTATGTATTTTTGTGCGTCTCTAAAGTGCCACAGAACTACTCGTTTTTAAAGTTACGGACTAACACGGCTACCCCTCTGAGTCTTCCGACAAGAGAAGCACTGAAGGAGAGCCGTCTTTCACCGGAGTCAAAGCTAGTACATTTTAGCTGCTTAATCCTTTAATAGCTTTAGGTTCTCAGATCTGTAAGCCTACGTCTTTTTTTCCTTTTGAGATGGCTTCAACAAGAGCTACTGTGCTACAAAAAGTGTGACACTACCAAACAATTCAACCACCGTCTATAAAATATTTCAATTTAAAACCAGTTAAGATGGCATGGGTTTTGCAGGGTCACTCAAGTCCACTCTCTGACAGACACACTTTGGGGTGGATCACGTGTTACAGAATTTTTAAAACGGAGAAACATTTCATATCAGAATACACTCAAGAGACGGTTCATGTCTATTTCTCAACATTTCCTGTTCAGTGCCTGGGTTTAGCAGGCTAAGGAATGGACAGAAGAGGGGTATGTGTGAAATTTACCTTCTTTCTAACATAGATTAGCAGGCTTTAAGCCATCATTAGCCAAATCTGACAAAGGGTGTCAGTAGAAAAGCCTCCTGGAAACTTTGTTAGTGGGTTTGGTGGTTGTGGGTGGGTCATTGAGGAGGACAGAGAGCTCCTGCTACATCCATTCATGAAAACAGGGCTCTTTCCTCCCCTCCTCCTCTCTCTTTTCCTCCCCCCAAAGAGAAAGACAACACAGAGAAGCCATCTTGGAATTTTAATTGAAAACATTCCCCACCAAGGCCCCAGGAAAAAAAATAAAAAGGAGAGGGAGAGAGATCTAACTCCTCCCCTTCCCATTAAAGAGGGCTTAAAAGTAACTTCAAAGCCCTTCCTTCCTGCTTATGGGAGAGATCAGTTAAAAAAGCAAATGACAGGACTAATCAGATAACGCTAAAGAGGGGTGGAGGGAGGGGGAGCAGGGGATTCATCACTAAGACAAACAGAAGAGGGAAGGGGCAGAGCAAAGCCACAATCAGATCTAGAGCCAGGGCTGGAACATATCCCTCCCTGTCTGGCAGGTCTGTCCCTTTCTTTCAGTTATTAATGGCCCTAAATGCTAGAAAGGAGGAAATGCTCTATCCCCAGATAATCCATAGCCCCAGCCCCGCCCCGCCATGCCAGCCAAAGAGCCTGATTATCTCCCTCCCCCACATAGTACTGGGCTCCCGCCAGGGAGAAAAAAAAGTGGGTTTAAATGGTTGAAAGTGCCAGTGGCGCTTTCGCCTGCTATTTGTGCCTCAAGCCTGCCGCCCAGCGACCACAGTGGGTGCTTTGAGGTCAGAGAGGAGCTGATCAGGCCAGTGTTTGGGGGACGCCTTGTGAGATATTGAGAGGGGGGAAGAAAATAACCAACTTCGTGGAATATAAATCAAGGTCTAAGTAGGGCGCTACAAGGAGCGGAGGTGCATGTCACGCCGCCGGGGGGGGGAATGCTCTCAGGCACCCCAATGTGTTCCCCAGTGGAGCCTGTGTCCGAGGCAAGAGGGGCCGGGATCAGTACCAGGAGCAGCCCCTCTTCCACACAGCTGACGGGAAGGAGGCATTTCAAGATGGAGAGGGGGAGCCAAGAGCTGGTTTAATGGGAAATGAAGCTGCGGCCCCTCAAACTTTGCTTTATAAGCGACACAAAGCTAAGCTGTGGTCTGGGGGAAGGGAGCCGGATCTTCGAGGGAAGCGTCAAGAAGGCGGCCCAGCCGCGCCACACCCCCGGAGACAGGCCTTTCCAAAATGCTCTGGGGGCAAACCAGTCCCCGTGGGGTCCAGATGGTTGCTCTGGTGGACGAGGGGGGTTTTCACGCCACAGGGGACCCTGCCGCCTCTTCTCCTCCCCACTGCAAGGGCCGGCCTCGGCGTGCCAGGTTTGGGGGGGCTGCTCTAGCACTGCAGGTCAGTTCAGGACAGAGGGGACTGCGCATGAGCGGTGCCCGAGCTGAATTTTCCTTTGAGAGGGGAAAGGAGGAAGACGCATCTCTCCCTCCCGCAGGGATTAGAGGGGGAGAGGCTGGACTAATAGAAACAGAGGAGGGGGAAACCCTTGGGAGGGGGGGGAGGAATCTGCCATCCTGCCCTGGTGTCTGGAAGGAGAGATCCCTCGGTTCTCCCGGCGCCTTTGAATGAAGGGGGGGAGGCTGCTTCCCCCATGAGTTGGGAAGGGGGGGCCCAGCCACAAAACACAACTGCAAAAGTCAGGGCGAGCTGGTCGCTGCGCTCCCCCAGCACATGGAACCATTTTATAAGCAGCTTAACAGGGGAGAAGCTCATCCAGGCTCGCTCTGAAACTGCAGCTAGCTCGGCTCCCCCTCCTCACCCCAACGAGACAGAAAATACCCCGAGCCCGGGTGGGGCGGTCTCCCTTCTCCCCCCAAAAGTCTTGATTTCACGGCGGGGAGGAATCCAGGGCATGGGGGGGGAAGAGAAGGCAGAGGATCTGCGGGGTGCGGGCTGCAAAGCGCCTACGGGCTGGGCAGAGTTGGGGGGCCACGGAAACCCATCCCTGGGGAGGGGAGGGGAGGCGCTTGGGGCAGGGATGGAGCTGGCGGCTGGGGGAGGCAGACGGGCCGATCTCCCCCCGAAGCCCGTACCTTTTAGGTAATACGCCTTGCACCCGTCGTCCCGCAGCTTCTGCAGCAGCAGCCCCAGGACGGAGCTGGGGGCGCCGTTGTCCTGCTGCCACTCGGCCGTGGCCTCGTCGTAGAGCAGCACGGTGTCCGCCTTGCAGCGCTTGGCGAAGCGCTCCTTGTCCTCGTGGTTGGGGATGATGGAGGGGAAGGGCAGGTTGCCCTTCTTCAGGCGGCGCAGCATGAGGCCCGGGATGGCCAGGTTGATGGCCGTCTCGATGTGCGAGGACTCGAAGAGCTCGTGGGGGCGGCAGTCGAGCAGCAGCAGCGAGCTGCCC